AGTTGTAATGCCACCCATAATGGATAATCTGGTTGGATTTATAGCTGTTAGGCCTTAAAGTAAATTAATAAACCATTGTTTCCTAGGAACACATTAATATACAAATTTGTGCTAAGCATTGTGCTAAGCCCTTTAGATAGTCTGCCTTATTTAGTCTTTACTCCCTTTACCTGGAATCAAGAGGTTCAGTGAAATTAAATGACATATCTAACTAAGGCCACACAGCTAAGAAAACTGGAATCTGGGTCTGACCGACTCAGGCTGCTCAGTGCATCCTCCTATTCTTCCTAGTTATTGATTCGTTTCTCAACGCAGGTGAATTTTTTTCTTTCTAGTGGTCTGAAATGAAGCAATCCTTTAGAGCAGTGAGATCCCAGTGCTTTTGTTTTGGTTTTTCAGTCTTTCCCAAAGTACCAGAATCATCTAGTCAAGTTTTGAATTTCCCATACAACTCCAGTGTCCCAGGAAGAGATAATGTCTTGTTTGATTTCATGCACATTAACACTCACAACTTACCCCATAAGTCATATATGTCAGGAAAGAAGTGAAGCTTGACAAATGGAGCCTGCTCTTCCTCATGTGCTGTTGCTGATAGCTTTTCATTATGCAGGCCTGACGTGGCATTTTCTTCAGTTTTTACAACAACAAAAGTTCTCCTATTCAGTTTCACTTATGTAAATGTTGTCGACTGAGCAGCTTCTCCTGAGCTTTCTCTTTTCATTTTTCTCCACTGCAGAGCATTGAGGTAAACACAGCCTTTTGTGTCTGTTGAGGACTAGATACTTGATCTTAAGGCAGGCAGCCAAAGTTTTCCAGGAAGAAGCCAAGATGCTGTGGGAAGCCTACATTTGGGGGATTTTGATAATCAACACTGACCCCCAGAATGCTGACCAAAGCTCCACCTGTTACGCCAAAACTTCACTTGGAAGGGTGTGTTAAACTCAGTTCTCAGAATATATAAATATAAACTGGGATCCTTTCTGAAAGTTTTCCCAAAGTCCAAATCTCTTAATTATTTCATGTCTGTGGAAGCATGAAGAATGGTTTGATTTGGCCCATTTATTCTTTTTTCTAAAATTTTTTAAATTTTAAAGAGAAAAAAAGAATAAACCCCAATAACGCAGAATTTCAAAAACAAGATAATAGATTAACAATGGTTAATATATGGTATATTGTTATCTTCAGATTAGTTGCTCAGATTACAAGATTAGGCATGCATAACTGATTGGACAGCATAAGCACAAACTGTTCTTTGACTGAACTACAGTAAGTCAGTAATATAACCATCTTATCTATATATCTATTTTCTTTTCCCTTCTTTCTTTTCTCTGCTCACCCATCCCAGTTGTTGTTTCTTTTTGAGAAAGTTCTCTCTCTTTCACAATACCTATTGTAGATTTGGGGTCTTATTTACTTTTTCATTTTCTTATATTAGGGAGACAATACAGTGTTTACAAATGTGAGTTTGATTTCTTTGACTTATGAGTATGGTCTCTACATGCATCCAATTACCTATAAAAGTCTCAAGTTTGTCTTTCTTTATAGCTAAGTAGTACTCCATTATATAAAAATACCAAATGTTTTTTTATCCATCCCTCAGCTGATGGGCATGTGAGTTGTTTGTAGATTTTTAATTGCATCTTCAATTCTATTAACTGACATTGGGTTATTTGGAATTTTTATATCTTCTTTATTCAGCTTTTGTAATTCACATTTCTAGGAATCTGTCCATCTCTTCTGTGTTTTCTACCCTATATGTGTACACGTTTTTGAAGTAGGTATTGATGATCTGAATTTCCAGGCCCATTTATTCTTTTATGATGTTATAGTATCATTTATCATCATCACACAGCTCTAAACCCACAGAATCTGAGACCATAAATAAACTGATGATACTTCTGCAAGGTAGAGCCTCTACTACGAGGGAGGTCAATGAAAAATAGGAAAAAATTAAAGGAATAAAATTATTTGATACAATTGAGTTCACGTCCAGACTGAAATTGAGGGCGGATGAATGAATGGAGCTTTTTAAACTCCATTTTTGATATTTGATATTTGTATTTGGCCTCATACATTAACAAGACTTATCATTTCCTTAAAAGTGCATGAAAGTCCCTGGAAGGCAAATAATTGAACTCAGACATTTTTTAAAAAAAGTATAATTTATTTGAAATAGGTGAGATGTTTACAAGTTTTAAAAATCAAAAGGTACAAAGGTGGAACAGTAAAATATTATCCCAATTTTCCACCTCAGAGGCAAAGCAGTTTCGTTAGTTTTTCATGCATCCTTCTAGCTATATAGTTTTTGCATAAGTAAACAAGAATCTGCATATTATTTTCCTTTTCTAAAGTGCAAAAGTTGTATCTACAAAGTTACATACCTTATATAATGTACAAATTAAGTGTTCTAAATAAGTATTCACAGCAAGTCCAGTGTGAAAAGTAATGATTCCTAGTAATTCTATATGTAATTAATATAATGTACAAAGTGTAATGTACTATATTCTTTGTTCTATATCTCTTTTTACCTCAGAATAAATACATCTTGAAGATATGATCCATGTCAGTACAGATGTTTTGTAGCTATGTGCTATCTACTAATGTTTGGGTATACCACCACATTTGTTTAACCACTTCCCTACTTTAGACATTTAGTTTGTTTCCAGTGTTTTGTTATTACGCATAAAATTAATAACTTTGTACATGTCATTTTATACATATGAAATATAGCTTTAGGGTCAATTTGAGACATGGAATTGCAGGGTCATTTATAATTTTGATAGATATCATCAAAGTATCCCTCCCCAGAGATGGAACTAATTTATAGTCTTACTAGTAATGTAGGAGAGCACAGATTTTTTATTTTCAATTTTTATTAGTACCTGGTTATAGTGCATCATGATCACATTCCTCATGGGGAATTGGTACAGGTGCAGAACAGGTGCAATTCTTTTTTTCATCCTGTTTCCCCACCATCCTTCCCTCTACCTCTTGGTCTGCGTCCCTTTCGCAAAAGATCTACCTTTTTATTTTCAATTATCTTTTTTTGCTCTTTATTTATATTTTGTGTTTCTCATTTAAGAAGGTACTTAAGACTGTGTGTCTGTTTATTTTACCTAATGTTAGAGTCTCAAGGTGCATCTGTTTTCCTACAACTGACTCTTTGGCAGCCCATAGCCCATTAAATCAGATAATGTGTGCAACCCCAGTGCCTGGCAGAGAGCATATGCGCAACAAATGGTGATTATCATGATTAACGATAAACCTCACCACCGATAGTCCATTTGATTTAACTTTGACTTCTTTCAAAACATAAATGATTCTGGAAATGTTTATATTGTAATAGGGGAAAATTGGCTTATTACACCAATTTCCTGGAGACTTTAGGAGTCTCATGTAGGAAAACACTCTAAAACCTGGATGTATCTGTTTTCAAAAATTTGGCCAGGGATATCAATAGTGCTACAATTAATTCTGAGTTTTCAACCTTAAGATAGTAATATGCTATGTTTTCCAAAATATGTGGGTAAAAATACATTTTGGGTAAAAATACAGTTGTAGGGGACAGTTACAAGGGATTGGAGTAGAAGTTTAGTGAGAGTCCTGACTCATTTTCAGGCTAGCTTTTCTGCAGACAAACCCCTCTCTGATGGTTAATCTTTGCTGTCAACCTGATGGGTTTGAGAGGTGACCAGAGGCCCGGCTGAGGACACCTCTGGGTGTGTCTGGGAAGCTTGCAGGGACGTGACCTTGGGGGCTATCTGGTCTCTGGCCCCCCGCCCTTGGCTCTCTCTGCTGACTGCCACCTTGAGGTGAACAGCTTTTCTTTGCCCAGCCCTCTGGCATGATGTTCTGTCTTGAAGCCAGTTAACCATTAAAACTGTGAGCTAAAGTCAACCCTTCCTCTTTTAAACTCTAAGGTATTTTTGCCACAGCCATAAAGCTAATACTCCCTCCAAGATCACAGAATTCCAGCTGGAACTATGACCACCAAAGCCAGTCGGGAAGACTGGTTCTGTGTTCCTCCTTGATTGGAAAGGCGAGATATCTTCATGCACAGCGCCTGTTTTATTGCTTTGATTCCCCACGGTCTGGCATAAACAGTATATTATTATTATTATTATTTATTATTACAAAGAAACTGATATTCTTCCTTTAAAACCAGCCTGGGCATATATTATTAGAAATAGCCATCATCCTTTCAGAGTATCTGATTTTGAGAAATGATCAAAAGTTTCTCTAACAAAGGAGAGATGGTAGGAAACATAAAAGCAGACCTCCTTGGAAGTGGGGAAGGGGATCAGGAGAAGAGAGGAGGTAGGGTAGGGAGAGAGCCAAAAAGCTCAAAATGATCCAAATATGCTACATCCGTAGACCAACCCTGCAAGTGAACATGTGTATTATTGCAAATGTAACTAATGAAATATAAAAAAAGAATGGAGATAATGAAAAAAACTCTTTAAATTGAATTTGGGGCAGGGAATAGAGCTCCATGGTGCATTAACTGCCTGGTAAGCACAAGGTCCTGAGTTTGATTCCCAGTGCCAAAAAAATAAATGATAATAAATAAATAAGTAAACAAATAAATAAGTAAACAAATAAATAGAATTTGATGACTATGTAGTCAAGCCAGACACAGTAAAAGATCTACACTTTCTTGAATGATAAGTACTGTCATGTTTGTTTTAAAACCACAGATTTTCTTAGGGTCCCACCCAGCCCTTAGGCCTTAATCCTCAATTTGACTTAGTTCTAGGTTTTCACTTCCCTTTCAGACACTGAAAGCTGAAGTCCATCCCATTTAATAGGCTTGCACATCCACGGTCACAGATGGCAGCAGGGTGCTCTCTTACAGGAAAGCCCCTTTGCTTCCCTTCTCTCGACTTCCACTCCTTCTCTCCTACCTTTGCTTCTACAGATCTTCGCTATAGATGACAGAATTTTTACTCTTTTCTTGGTACTGTCCTAGAATGTGTAAGAGAATAAAACTTTTCCATAGATTATTTTTTAAAACATAAATAAGTTCTTTTTATTCTCATCAGGCAGGATTGAAAAGTATGCCGTGTAAACATAAAGGTTATGAAAAAAAATAACTAGGAAGAGGGCTACAGATATTCCAAGTAACTCTCCACTGGGAGGTTACACTGGGAGTGGTTTTATAAAACACAGAAAAAATAAGAAAATGGACACTCAAGTGTATTGAGGAGCAAAATAAATAAGTATATTTTATAAAATTAACACAAACGGTGACAAATACAGAATTACGTATCATCTCTGCTTACATCATTTACAATGAAACACAAGACAAAGGGGGTAAAGTGCCTTTCAAATCCAATACCGTGGAAAGTATTGCGACTTAGGAATCCAGGGAGCATGTGTTCTTGCTCAGCCAGTCACAAATTGTTACATAAATAAATACATATGAGCAGATAACACAAGGAGTTCTGCCGGCAATTCTGTTTCTTCAAGCTTGATGTGTGGCAAAACAAAGAAGATGCAAACAAATGACCAAAAGAGAAAGAAAATTCTGGGACTTCCTAAGAGGACATCTGAACCAAAAAGTCTCTGGAAAACAGTGTCTTGGGAGGACCCGGTAGTGATGAGAGCCAGTGGTGTTCAAGGGTTCAAGCAGAGATAATGAACCTTTTCCGGAACAGATGAGGATCCGGTGCATCCAGAAGTCAAAGTGTACTATTAAAATCTCCAGAAAGAATATGTAATTACGCAAGTGCAGCAGCAAAGTGGAGTTTGTACTCAAGAGAAAACATAGAAAGGTTCCAGAGATGCTTCTCCATGCAGCATTAGCAATAAGGCTGCCAACAGTACTGGACTGATTCACTCTACCCTGGGCAACCCAGGGGTCTTCTTTAGAAAAAACACAAAATAGTTTAAATCCAGTCAGTCAGAGAGCAAGCACTTCACAGTGCTATCTGTCCAAAGCTATATGTAGCAGACACAGCGCATGCAGCAAATCATATGAAAGATACTAAGAGGCTGTGGGGAAGACCATCTAGAAATGACATGACACAGTTTCTGACTTCTGGGAACCTCAAGTATGTTCCAGTTGCTACACAGAAAATAATATATTAAGTAAAAATAGCAAAATGTATAGTAAGTACATAACTTCTTACCACTGAGAAAAAATTTTAAATGTACTTCTAACATACATTCTCAGACAGAGACTATCTTTAGAAATACATGGACAATAGGCAACATCTGTCACTCATGGAGAGGAAAAACAGATAACTAGGAGAATGGACTGGAATTGTTTTTCTATCAGACCATTTGAATTTTGAATCATGGGAGCGTTTAAATTCAACACTGAACAGCATTTAGATAAGAAAAAAGAAAAAAGGGATTCCTAAACCTTAACAGATATTGTTTAGAAAAACATCAGCTCGAATGCCAAAGACAAATAAATCTTTGTAAACATAATGCTAGCAAGGAATTCAAGAGTTATTTTCCAGTTATTTTAAATACTGATTTCTCATACACTAAAGTTGCTTTGATTATGAACACGTTTAAGTACACTCCACTGAGACTGTGTCTTGCTTGCATGTATGGACTCATTGCCTGGCATGGCGCAAGGCATCCGCTGCATGCAGACACTTAAATGCTTTTTGAATGAACACATTTCTGAAAGTAGAGCCATCAATTGCACTCTAAAAGGACAGCAGTAAGTTTTAGAAATCTGAGAGCTGTTGGTCCCTGCTGTGGTCAAGTTACGTAAGCTCTCTGCCTCCTCCACTATTAAATGAGTATAGTAATAGGGGTTACAGGACAGGGTTGTGACGGAGATGAAGTGAGATTACGTGAATAAGGTATCACACAGTCGTAAAGCTGATATTTATGTGACCCTGACACTGTAACAGTCCTTTGAAGTCTGACGGTAAGATTATTCAAGTCACCCCAGCTAGTGAGTTGGTTAAATAAGGTAAAAGTCGTACAATCCAATGCTTCCTTACAGAGGATACTAAGCACCTCACAAATAGTAACTTTTACCAAACACAGACAAGCACTTAAGCAGCAGAATTTTAACACCTACTATCTCTTCGAAAGGAATAACTCACCACAGTACTCACATGACAAGAAGATGCTACAGACTCAAAATAAATAGAAACAACTCGTACGAAGCACTGTTGCAGTCCTGGGGCTGAGTGGAGGCAAGGGGCACTTCTGCGAGAGCTGACCATTAATCAGGGATTCTCAACCCGCTCCTCGTTCGGACATGTCTTTTGTCTCTTTTTTGTCTTTCAGTTATTGAAGTATCAAGATTTCCTTCCAGGCTCCCCTCTGTACTCCGTCCTTCTTCGTCTTTCTCCTCTTCTTTTCCCAGCTTCCATTTTCAGTGCCTGGACCTTTAAATTCCAACATCCCCTGCATCCCATGGGCCCTTTCTTTGCTGAATTCCCAAACCACAGGCTGAGAATCCCTGCTTGAAGATCACAAGTTTCAGAGCTGGTTACGTCTCCTCAAACTGTCTATCTGGAGAGTGACAAAAGTATATTAATATCATGGGTGGGTGGGCCTGGAAAAAAAAATAACAAGCAACCTAAGAAAAGAAAAGCTCATATTTTCTAGACCATATAATAAGTTTGCAATAAGAGAAAGAGGCACATTACATTTATGACCAATTGCCCTTACATGATAAAAATGACTAACCATTCTGGTTTACCTAGGAATGTACTGGTTTTAAAACTGAATGATGAGCTGGTCATGGTAGCGGAGGCCTGTAATCCCAGCACTCAGGAGGCTGAGGCAGGAGGATTGCTGCAAGTTTCGAGGCCAGCCTGGGCTACATCGTGAGTTTAGGATCAGCCTGAACTACAAAATGAGACTTTGTCTCAAGAAAATGCCCAAAAAATAAAACATAAAAAAAAAAAAAACAAACAATGTTGTCCTGAGAAACCCCTCAGTCCTGAACAACTGTGATGATGAACCTTTCAGAGACCAAGCGCCAAACTGCAACCCAAAACCCACTAGTTTCTCTGCTATAAAATGGAAATGATTCTAATATTTGTCATCGATTGTTTGATTGTTGTTGGTGGTGGTGGGGGTTAAATGAGATGCTTCATACCATGCATAAAAATAGTAAACAGTGCCTGACAGACAACACTGCAGAATTAATTATCCACCGGCCTCAGTCAGGGTGGTCCAGTTACACGGAGATATTGGGATGGAGGGCAACAGAAGCTTCCTTAGCAAAGAGAAGCTGCCCCGTCCCCGGCCCCCTTTCCCCTCCTTTCTCCACAAAGCTGTTCGCCGTTGTTTGCTCTGGAGGGCCATCTCTGAATCTCCTCAGCCTGTGGCGGGAGTTCTTAGAGTTGTAAGGCAAAGGCGAGCCAGCAGTTCTGGCCTCTAAAGCGAGGGAAGGCTGAAATGGATAGATTTCCTTGTTCTCTCTTTAGCTTTTTGTTTCCTTCCTTCATCTTCCCAGGCCCTTCTGATGGTCTTACCGTTTTGTTTCTGTGAGTGCCTTTCTCGGATGCTGCATTTCTCCACATCTATCATGCTCACTAAAGAAAAGAAATCATTTTTAATTTCCATATTGTACAACTCTACATCCCACACCGTGACCGGAGCTCAAATTCCAAATTCCAGTGAAACATTTTTAATCTCCTGGGAAGTTTCATGAATTTCTTTATTCCAGGGTCCCAACCCCTAACATTAATTAACTCAACAGTTTAGGACACAAATTCTTGCTCTTAGATTTTCTTTTTATTTTTCTTTCCTTCTTTCAGAGATAGAAAGTGCCACATTGCAAGGTACTTTATTACCTGTTGATTTTCTCCCTCCTAGTCCCTTTGTAGTACTGGAGACTGAATCTAGAACCTCACAAATACTAGGCAAGGGCTCCACCACTGAGCTACATTCCCCAGATTTTTATAATTTTTTTGAGAAAGGTTCTGGCAGACCTTGAACATTCCATCAGTCTGCTAAGCCACTGGGGTTACAGGTACGTGCTGCCTGTTCTCTGGCTATCTGATGGTTTTCTAGCCATTCCTAGCCAACTGATCTTTTTTCCCCAGGAAGATATTCACAGTGCAATTTAGCAACAATCATTTCCTTGAGGAAATCCCCTCCACCCTGGAATCTGCCTGTCATTGAAACCTGATTTTCAAATCCTGGCTATCTCAGTTTATCTAAGGACTATTCTTTGGAAACCACTGATTCCTACCCATTCTGATCACTTTTCCATATCCGTCCACAGATCAACCTCTTGCAGGGGATTGTGGAGAATTCCTCAAAAACTACAGGAATTCCCTTCCATATCCTACTTCCTTATTTGACACCAACATTTCTTTATGAAGACCATCACTGGAACTCTTAACACACATATTAATGTATTGGGGAAAAGGTTTTCTCTGAATCATCTTGAAATAGGAAGAAATTATTTGAATATACTTATTTGCCTCGATTTTAATTGTTCCCATGGGTAAGGAGAGAAATAAACACATATAAACTATTTCCAAAATTATTTAACATCTGCCTCCAGAAATCTTGCAAAATATTCTATGGTAAAAATAGCATAGCTCTAGAGACGGAACTATTTTGATTAGTTAGGGCACCTAGGGACTAGCTCAATATAAAGCTGCAACTAATGAAAGACTCAGATTCAACTGAAACCAGCAGGCACTACAGTGCTTTCACTTTTGTAAATCTTGGTTATTTGCATGGTGGACAGAAGTTGTGTGTCACCGTGTCTTCTTCAACCTCCAGACAGACTGTTTCTCCCAGTGCTCATGGTTGTACCTCTGATCTTCACCCAGCAATCCCACCAACCCCACTCGGCTTCCTTACGATTGCTAATGAATACTGGGATTTCTCTGTGCCACTTTGCAAGACTAAATCAGCTTCCTTGCAGCCATTGTCCAACTCTCACTCCTCAGAAATTCTACTACAAGTGTTCAGTGCCACCTTCCAATGTGGGCAACACTGTACAATGACAAAATGAGCAGGGCTGAAAGAAGAAATGCACATGGTCTCACGCAGCGGCACAACTAAAATTCACTTTGCATAACTGAAAGTGGGCCCTGAAAGGGAAAACTAACAGGAAGCAGCCTAAGCCAGTGTTTCCCAACTGAATGTTGAGTAGGACGCTTCCTTCGATGTGGGGGCTGTCCTACATATGGCAAGATATTTAGAACTTCTGGTTCTGCCTACTAAGTGCTATCGTGATAACAATAGCCTCTTCACACTTCCACGCATCCCAGTGAAAACCATGGTAATGAAGGAGATACCATCTTTCCTCAGGTAGAATAGGAGCAGTGCCACAACAAAGAACAACGGGATGATCCCTATTGTCACAAGATGATGCCTCTTATTTGTTGGGAGTACAGTGGGTGATTCTGAAAAACAAAAACAAAACAAAACTGACTTAAGATAAAATCTTCATAGGAAGTGCCAGGAAAATAACCATCCCAGAAGTTTAACTTAGTTTAATTTCAGATTAACTTTCTTACGCAGTAAAAGTTCCTGGCCAGTGAGTGGCCCAAATGATGAGATAGCTCTAGTAACATGAGAGCAGCATGAGATAGAAGCCATGACGAAGAAGCCCAGGCTTTGGACAGAGAGACCTGTGGTGGAAACCAGCTTACCAAATGGAAATTCTAAGAAATTTATCTGGCTAAGGTTTGTAAAGTGCTTAGCATGGTACCATAGGAGTGTCTGCTCAGTACTAAATGGTGGCCTTAATTATGTCATTTTCTCTTGCTTTTTTTTTTTGTTTGTTTGTTTGCTTGATTGATTGAGACTAGGTATGTAGTTCAGGCTGGCCTTGAACTCACTGTGTAGCACAGGTTGACCTCGAACACATGGTGATCCTCCTGCCTTAGTTTCCCAAGTGCTGGGATTATAAGCATGGGCCACCATGCCTGGCTTGACTCTTGTTTTAATACGGAAGCTGGCACCCTACTGGATGTGACAAGAATGGCTCACTGTAGAACTTGGGCGACACTGTTACAGAGCTTCCACCTCTCATATGTGTGGCCACAAGTAGAGAAGCTGCTTGTTATACTGCTCTGAAATTTGAATATCCCTGGACTTCTTATGATTGGTTTCACTCACCAACCCCTATCTGCACCCCATGCAGGAACAGGGAGTCCCACGCTTGGGGAATGCAGACTCCCGCCTCATGTCAGTTCCTGCTTGGCCCGAGCTGCCAGCTGAGACCCATAGTCCCTAACTACCTAGTTCAAGCTTTAAAGCCACGGTGCCAGCCAGCCTTTGTCTAGTAGCTTGTAGTATACAACTCCTGTTCATCTCTATTGTACTTAAGTCTCACAATAACTTTATGGGTTGGGCACACCAGGTAGTCCAAACAAACCCCAGGTGACAGCTGAGAAAACAGACTCAGGGCAGTTAAATGAGTTATTTCAAGTGGCTCCACAAATGAGCCATCAGAAATCAGCTCTGAAATGTCAGAAATTCACTACTATAGCTCTTAAGGAAGGCCAATCGCATTCTGTTTTCTAAACTTTTTTTGCTCTTTTTGTTTACAAGAACATTTGAGGTTTTTTTTTATATTGGCTGGCTTTTCTATTTAAGTTTTCATGTGTTTTCTCTGAAGTACTTGGGGTTTTTCTGTCAATGTCTATTAGGGGAGGTGGTAAGAACTGCTTCAGGAACAGCTTTGGCTTTCTATTAAACCACTTCACTTACTTAAATAGTCTGAGTCTCTTAGCAATCTTTGCCTCCCGTCCTACCTCCTTCTGTAAGGTAGTGAGACTGAAAAGAGTTGAATTTGTGCTGACAAGGGTCTCAGGCCATTTCCATACATTGTAGCTCATTTTATCCCCACAGTAACCTGGACTGAGACGTTATACCCTCCTAGGGAAAGTGAAACACACAGAAGTCTAAGAATTTGCCTAAGCAGTGACGGTGAACCTTGTAGAGCTTTCAGTGACACAAACAGCCCGCTGCAGCACACATCCCATAGGTCCCCGCCGCTGGCCTAGGGACACCAAGCCTCACATTCTGCGCAGTAAGCCACTGTCTTGAATTGAATATTCCTTGGGAGAAGTACATGGGGAGAAATCATTACTCCTATGTGGTTCAGAGACAGAAAGGTACATTCCATTTGCTTCCTGCCATTGAAAACCTGGAGAAGGTAGCAGCTCTGGTTTACTAGGGTTTGGATCCTGAAACTTGGTCTGAGTTGAGTATGGGTATTCTTTCAAATGCACACACACACACACACACACATACGCACACACCAGCTGAGCATTTCCTGCATGAAACTGGATTGCCTATTTCCTTATTTCTTACCTGCTTTCTGGAGATTGTGAGCTGTGTCTTATCTTTTTATGAATATCTCATGTCTATATATTGCCTGGCATGTAGTGAATATTCAGTAAACATCTGCTTACTATTTATTAAGTAGCAACGTGACCTGGATGGATGGAGGTGAGGAAACAGCATGCATTTTTCTTTTTTTTTTTTGGTTTTTCTCCGGTACCAGGAACCGAACTCACGACCTTGCGCTTGCCAGGCAGGCGCTTTGCCGCTGAGCTAAATCCCCAGTCCCGCATGCATTTTTAAGCATAGTGTTACTCACTTACTCATGTATTCAATCATCTCTGCATAACTGGGATGAGCAGACATTGTGCTAAGTAGCAGGTGACAGCATTAGGCATATTTTAATTGACACAGTGAAAATGTTACCTGGGATGATCAACTCAGCTGTATAGTTTTCCCCAGAACCTAATCTCCGAAAAGTACAGTAGAAAATCTCATTAGCTGTTGCGTTGATTCTCAGCGTGCTGGTTGCATTGAAAAATTTCTCCTCCCTCTGGGACTTGGTGACGATGGTGTTGCCACTTAGGATTTGCTGGTCACTGCTTGTCCAGATGACTTCAGCTTCAGGGTAACCCTCAGCCTGACACGTTAATTCATATTCAGAGGTGACTGGATCCACGGAAATTCTCTGGTTGATTTTGCGATATGGGGCTAGGTGATGAGCAGAAAGAAGCCAGGCGTTTCTCTTAGCATAGAACTAGACTTGTAGAGTGGCGCTATCCATATTATAAAGAATATTAATGCAGGCTGGTTCTCAGAGAAACAAGCTTACTATTCAGTGTCCACAGCAGTGGGCACTCCTGTTCGTCTTCCTCAACTTTTTTGCTCAAACTTGGGCCCACTTTGTGCCTAAAGGAACAACTACCTTGCTGTAAAAATCATGTTGGTTTAGCACTCTGGGATGCTGAGGCAGGAGGATCCCAAATTCAAGCCTAGCCTGGGCAACTTGGCAAATTAAGCAAGACCCTGTCTCAAAATGAAAGATAAAAAAGGGCTGGGGATGTAGATTAGTGGGAAGTTCAATCCTCAATATTAAAAAAGCAAAAACCCCCACAACATGTTGGTGTGTTTATTAGGTTCAAACTACATGCCTAGGTTAATTTAAAATAAATTTTCATTTTAGTATTCTTTCTATCCACATATAAAATGTCTATTCAAGTCTTTGTATATTTCTCAGTAAAGTGCAAAAGTTTTCACCCAGGATCCCATTTCTTCATAAACTCATTCTCAAATATTTTCCTTTTGTTGTCATAAAGCTGTCTTTATAAACACGAACCTTTCTAGCTGGAGAGCACTGTTTTCTTAGACTTTACTCAATCACCTGATTTTGACGTGTCATTTGCTTTTTCAACTTTACGTCAATGATCAGAAATTAGATAGAAAGTATTTTCTATGTCATTTGTAAAAATGAATACATGTTTCTAGTGATACTTTTAAAAGTTTAAATATACTTTTAAATTTTAGGATAGTTTTAGATTTACAAAAATGTTGCAAAAATATTACCATTGCTGTATATTCCTTACCCAGTTCCCCTTGCTATTCACATCTTATATTATCACAGTGCAGTCATTATAATAAAGGCACCAACATTAGTACCTTACTATTAAGTAAACTCCATAATTTATCCAGCCAATCATTTTTTGCTTTATGTGCTCCTTCTGTTCTATAAAATTTGATGAACTTTTAGATAATTGGTTTAGGACCCCTTTACGACTAACAGATCCCGTTTTCTGACTATTCTAGTAGATTGTTTAATGTACATAGGTAGCATAAGATCTTGTTCATGTTTACTAATTACAAAAACCTTAACCTGATTGTATTCTTCTGCCATAATCATTATTTTACTACTAAAACTTTAGTGAGTCACTAATGGTCAGAGTGTTAGTTCTCCATTTCTTTACCAGGACATAATAAAAACTTCATGACATAATATTTTCACAAAGGTTTAACACAAAGCAGTTAGGATAAGACAAAACTGAAAAAATAGTGATGCAATATTTTGGTGCTCTTAAATTAAGGAAACTACCACCAAGGAAATCTATAATATAATTATGATTTCAAAACACACAAATAATAGTTTTTGAGTATTTAAATTCTCAGTCTTATATCTGTCATGTTTAACAATCATTTAAAATTGGAAATTATGATTGTACTTATGAAATAAACACTTCAGGAAATAATACTAGCATAATAGGGTCTCATTCACTTAGCATACAACTTGATTTCTGGGTGATTAAAATTTAAGACCTGAAAAATGACTGTTAATGGTAAAATGTTAGGGGTAAAATATTTGTTTTCTTACCCCTCTGTTACCATTTTAAATGACAGATTATGAAAGGAGGGGGCTGTTAGGAGTCAGGAGCTTGCTGCTTCACATGGAGGAGCACATATAAATACATTACATCTCTAAGGCCAACGAAAGAATGGACGCTTCCAGAAGAACTGACTAAATATCCACTACATTAATTTCTGGAGTGGAGCACATAAATGAAGGCACAGCAAGAAAACATCAGAATTTCCACTTACATGCATTTTTATTGTATCAGTGAAATATGTAAGCCTCCTAAGTTTTGCTAGCTGCTGTTGGGGCCCGCTCTGCCATGTGAGCATCTTACAGAAGGAGAGGGATTGTACAATATCAAAGAGAGGATGGATCTTATTTGCTTTTAACTAAATGAACTGCATAAAATGACTTAATTAAAGAGCATGCCACCAAGAAACTGAGAATTGAAGATAATATTAACAGTTCAAACAGCAATTAAAGGGTAATGTCAGGAACAAATTTTTATCAGCCACTTTATGAGGTTAAAATCAATAAGCACTTAATTGGACCTGATCAAGTATTCACTAAAATCTCTTAAGATTATTAAAACTATCTACTTTTGTTACTGATGATTTTCAAGCTATATTATGCCTTAACATATTATCTGATGATAGGGAAGCACCACAAGTAGGAAGACATCAAAATATTATTTGTTAAATTTTATTTCATCCTTTAAAATGTTTACTTTTATATTTTTAGAATCCATAATTTTAGATTTACCCACATGAAATTGGTGATAGTTAACCTCTTTTGCCCCTCAAAAATCAAAACTTGCTATGATACAATGTATATATTAGTACAAATTATATTCTTTATAATTTACACAAACACACTAGCCCTTCGGGTGGGGTGGGTAATCAAAACTTTTTGCAGACCGCTGGTCTATTAGATCTAGAGCACTATACTAATGTTGGTTAATCAAGACCAAAAAAGCTCAAGATCATTTCTAAGACATTACACACTTGATACACACTGCAGAAGGACAAAGATAGGCAGCGAAATGTGGATATGAGGGTCACAGGGTTTAGAACCAGACAGCACTTAAGATTTGGTTTCACCACTTATAAGCTAGGTAGACTTGAGCAAATTGATTAATTTCTTTGGACCTCAGTTTCCTAATCCTTGAAATGGGCAGAATAATGCTGATGGCTCACTAATGGATCCATTGAAAGATACATTCCAATTTCAGCAAAGCAAGGTGACACATGCTTTTAATCCCAGCACATGGTAGGCTGAGGCAGGAGGATCACCATGAGTTCAAGGCCAACCTGGGCTACATAGTGAGTTCAAGGCCAGCCTGAACTACATAGTGAGCCCCTGGCTCAAAAATCCACCCCCTAAAAAAATAAAGAAAAGATAGGTGCATTCTGATTTTAGATATAGTAAAGTGAAAAAAATATTAATTTTAGTCATAATGCAGTACCTACCCCACAGAATCATACTGAGGATTAAATGAGTTAGAATAACAAAAAGCTTAGCACTGGGCTTAGTACACAATGAGTGCTACATAAGTTTTAATTACTATGACTACCACCACCACCACCACAACTCATACCTGAGCTGTTGCTCTTACTGCTACTGCTGAAGTATACTTTCATGATACTCTGAAGAAGGTACTACAGTTTCTGATGAATGGCCTTGGAAATAAATTTTCACATATTAAAACTTGCTCGTGTTTCAAAAATTTCGGGCTAAGCTACTGGAGGAAATCAATCATCCACTCAAAAAATACTGTGTGCTCTTGTCAAGCTGCGCTTACTATATGTCTACTCCTGGGATATAACAATGAATATAACTATATCTCTCCCCTTGCAGAGTTCATGTTCTAGAAGAAGAAGAAGAAAGAAAGAAGGAAAAAGGCCCAGTTATACATCCTACATAACAGTGATAGATGCTAAAGGGAACCATTAAGCAGGGCTGGGGAATCCGGGGGCAAGAAGAGGTAGGGGAACGATAACGGTTAATCTTTGGCCCATATGACTGAATAGATTTATCAAGATAGCTATCTACCATTTTTATCCTTTCAGCTGCCTAATCCCATTGAGGCCCTGAAGTTGTGAAACAAACATTTCACTTTATAGGATATTAAATTCAATTTTCCATTGAAATTCAGACGCTGAGAATCTGGTATTTAAATGAACAAACATGAAAGGTGTGATAATACTCAAAGTGATAACTGAGTTAACCCAGAACCAAACCCTTTAAAGTTTCAGTTTTGAAATGCTTCACCTTTAAAACCCCACTGAGTAAACTCCCTGTGGGGAAGTGTGTCACCACATATTTGCAGTGATGGGAAGAGAAGCCCAGAAACATTACTGTGAAATAATTTGCATACGGAGGTGACTCAGGAGCCCTAGTGCCTTGGGGCGCAGTGCTTCCGCACACAGCCACCAAGTTTCCACGGGGAGGTGGGGGCGCCACTTCTGTGCAAGCGCAGCCTGGCTGCTGCTTTGTTTTCAGCGCAGAAGGTGCAGACTCTTGGTTTAGCTCAACACAACCTCTCAAACCACTGAATGCAAATGACAAGATAGATTGGAAGTAGGATACCTGCTTAGCACAGTACTGTATTTTATAAGACAAAAGGGAATGGTCGAGTCTGTTCAGTCATCTTCTTTGACTCTTCCTTGAAAAGCCCATCAGGGCCAGATTTCCTATTATGTTGAAGAGATATTATGAAGCCAAGATAACCTGGTTTAATCCTTCCTCACTACGAAATACCCCCAAAGTAGTCACCTGAATGCTCCTAACAGGCTGAGCGGAGGTCGCTGGGAACAGCAACTTAAACTCTATGTTTTCTTCTTCCTTACTGCCAGGATTGTGTTCTTATTTTCCACACCCTACACCTAGCAATGCTGGCTGTTCACATGCTTAAGGCATGAAAATTTCTTTAAATGCCTTAGAACAAAATAAATACCTCATATTTGCTGATGAACTAAAGAAAAGCTGTGAACATAAACAACCCATCCTAAGCATGCTTTCATGAAAGTCATGAATGAAGAAACCTATGAAAAATATAGGAATTTTAAGTCTACTTTATAAGTGACGTTCTTCTTAACAATGGCAACTTAATTGAGTCAGCATCAGAGATCCAGTAACATACCATGAAAAGGATGCATTTCTCCTAATCTCTATATAATTTTATTTTTGTGTTTATAATTAGCAGCAGCCCTTCCTAAGAAATACAAACTTTTCTTACTTATATTACTGACCTTAAGACTGATGGTAGTAGTTAGCTCAGGAACAAAAGATCAAGGGGAGACCACTTAATTCTAGTAAATATTAAAAGGGCATCATAAAAACAAAAAAATCAGGGAGATCATCTCCAAGGTGTGACAGAAGGACTAGGTTACAGCTCAATATCAGGGAGAAATATCAAAAGTCTCTGGAAGGGGATTCCAAATAATAGGGACGTCATTATGGGAAGTATATGAACAGAAGATCCTTTAGGGGATTTCTGTACTTTGTAGGAGTTTGGATTAGGTACTCGCACCTGGGATCCCTTTAGCTCTCAATTCTGTGAAACTCCACAGTGAAAGCAGAGGTGGTCAGCAAAGGTGTTTTCCTTCCCTTAACCAGTACTAACCAAAAACTTTGAACTCAAGTGACCTGATGACATACTTGTGGGTCAGTATCCAGGAATTAACACTCATAGTTCCTCTTCAACACTCCAGGATAACACTGGTACTGATTCTTGCGATGAATATATGCCTGATGAACACAGCCTATGCCATCTCTGAGAAAGAGTGGTTTCTTCTACATTTAATGTGATCATTTTTGCCTGTATCAACTGACTGTAAGTCTTTCTGAACATGAACCTTATGATAGACTTTGTTTTTAACAGACTTATTTGGGGTTTGATACAGATAAGCTCAAAGGAAGGAAAATGTGTCAAACCTAATAGAATAAAAAATAGCACTTGAATAAAAAAATTCTAGAAGGACACATAAATTGCACTTACTATATTCATATCATGATGGTGACTGTAGGAGGGAAATCTTTGCGATTCATTTTATTCCCTTCCATAGTGTCTGAATTATTTGTAAATACATTTATTATTTCTATAATCACAAAAGGTTGAAACGTGGAATTTACTTTCTGGGAAAACTAAACATGGTGTAGTTTTTGGCTCTGGGTCTCCAGTGACTCTCACATAGGAAGTGCTCCAATGGCTGAGTGTGTGAGTGAATGCATGGATGAATGAGTGAATGCATGGATGAATGAGTGAATGCATGGATGAATGAGTGATGCATGGATGAATGAGGGAAGGAATGAATGGATAGGCTGCCGTTGTTCAGTTGGAAAGTCTGCATTTCTAAGAAGGAAAAGCTCCTAACACTTGATCTGTGACAGATAAAGCTCAAGCTTCTTTAGCTGTAACAGTTCTTACCATTGACTTTCAAAGTAATCCGCTTATAGTCAGCGCCACCATAACCGATCATGCAGCAGTAAACCCCTGCGTCCTGCAATTTCACATCTGTGATCAGAAGCGCAGCATTTCCCTTGAAGAGCTGGTCTTTGAGCAGCCAGGCCCTATGCCTGAAGCTGCTATGCTGAGCCTTGGAGTCTTCCTGTCCATGCACAAACTGAATGATTTGCTTATCCTCCTTTTCCCAGTAGACAACTAACGAAAGCAGGTCCAGCTGTTTTTGTACTTGGAAGTTGCATTCAATTGTCACATTGCTGCCATATTCTACGACATACTGGTCCTTGGGAACTGTGATAGTGAATGCTGAAAAGAAAGATGTCTAATTCTCAGAAGACACAAGATTCTTCAAAACATTTATAAAATGAGTATAGGATTTATAATCACTTTAACTGAAGAATTATAAGATAATTGCATTTAAGAACTTACTTCCCTAAAATACATATTTTATCCAGCATGCTTGAAACATATTTTGGGATAGTATAAGCTGGCCCTTGCATTAAAATAATAAAAGTAGCTAAACAAGTTGTCCTATAATTCATAAACATACATTTCTGTAAAAATACTATATGGTGATGCAGTATTTATAACCAGAAAGACTTCATTTCATGCAGACATTCCTGGAATGTCATTTGCCTGGATAAATATTTGCTTTCAACATAGTCTGGATGGTAGATTCTAACAGTCTTCCATTCGTACTGTCTTAAGGTTTTGATCAGTTCTCTTGCCAGAGGTCCACGGGTATGGCAATTTATGGAGAACCTCAGGATGTTGCCAAAATACTGCTATCCTGACAATTTCTATGTATACTGAAATTCTTAGCATATCTTCATCAGGAAAAGCAGGTCACAGAGCAATATGGATAGAATGATTCAGGCCTTGCTTAAAATAAACAGAAGTATATCTATGGGTCATTTTCCCAGAAATTTTCAGTAGTTTTCCCTGCAAAATAGGTAATGGGCTAATTCTATACTGTCTATGTTCTCTATATCTTTATACAGTGACACAGGTGATTTCCGAGAATGAAGGCATGTATGAAATAAAGAAGGAAAAATAGAATGTTCTGTAAGATCCATATCCATTTAAAATTATTATTATTTTAGTTTTAAAATTCATGATTAAAATATTCACAATATGGAATTGAATGAAAGGATTTGGTGTCTTACCATGCAGCAAATCATAGTAGGCTGTGAATATAAAGATGCCCAATATCCTCATCTTTCTGGAACGACCTAATTATGGGAAACACAAAAAGAAGATTGCTTTATTTGATAACTGAACACTCAGTATGACAGTATGAGACGTGATAGTCCTAATTGGAACAGTCTTGATAACCAGCTGATGACTGACTTGTAAGTGTGGAAACACAACGGGAAATTTCGAAGTTCAATACCTTCATTTCAGTCCAGAGCTATATAAAGTCAAAGGAAAAAACAGTTACTATGATAAGATGAAAATTTTAAAATTTAGTTAAAGGCCCTGAACAAAATTGTGGCATACATTCAAAATAAGCCAAGAAGAAAATACCTCACCCATATCCTCTTACCTATTTCATATTTTTCCTGCATTGTGACATATCTGGAGATCCAAACTTGCCATATGTGAAAATTCAAAGCAAGAGAATCTGACTTCTACTTCTCCTACCTATTGAAAGGTGCCCCCTTCCAACATACAACTATATACTTCCACCTTATATGTAACTGTTCAAGACCTCTACTTCACCACACCAAACTGACTGGTTCATTCTTCTCCCCCTTACTTATTCCAAATTATAGATCCTATTTTCTCAAGATTCTATTAGTAATGCAGGTGGGGTGGGGAAGATAGTGTCTCGTGGCCACTCTTTCAGTGGTATCTGCCTTTCTTTATTATCTCATCTTGCTTAAAATTTTACAAATTCTTTCATTCAGCAAACACTGAGCACCTCCCTGTGCCAGGCACTACTGTATTTCATAATCTGCAGATACAGCAGTGAGCAGAAAAGAAATATCATTCTGCTCCTGTACTTATATTCAAATAGCAAAGTAAAAAGATTTGTACTTTACTTCTGTCAATCTAAATATTTATTAACACATTTTCTCTCTTTTATGTTTGATAAGAAACTCAGTTTTCTGTTAGTGTTCCTCTAGCTCTTATACGCATACATAATTAATCAACATTATACATACATAAAACAGAAGAGTAATACTCCTAACATATAAATAGCTTCTAAAATCAAGAAAATTATATAATATATTATATTTATATAATATACATAATCCAAGAGCAAAATTCTAATATAAAGTTCATAGAATAAGGTATATACAACATAAACTAAATCCAACTAAATCCATATAAAATGAGCAAAAGTTCTAATATAAAGTTCACAGAATAAGGTATACAAATGAGAAGTAAACAAAGGAAAAGATGTTTAACATCGTAAAAAGTATATTTAAATTAGAAGGTATCATTTTTCACTTAATTAGCTTGACAAAAATTATGCTTCCTAATATCTAATATTTGTGAGGTTATGGACAAATAAGCTCTCCTGCCCATTAGCGGTAGGAATGTGAAATTGAATAACTCTTTCTTGAAGGGCAATTTGGTAACCTCTAATAAAATTTTTAATGTATATGTCATATGACTTTTCATTTCCACTCCTATAAATCTTCAAAATAAAAAAACAGATAGGTGTGGTGGTGCATGCCTGCAATCCCAGAACTCAACAGGCTGAGGCAGGAAGATCTCCACAAGTTTAAAACCATCCTGGGCTACATAGTGAACTAAAGGCCAGCCTAAACTACACAGCGAGACATTGTCTCAGAAACAAACCAATCAACCAACAAACAAAATGTACATATAGTAGTGTATGTACAGGGAGGACATTATTAATACTGTAATAGCTTCAAACCAGGAATACCCTAGATAGCTTAAATGATTAAATAAATTTTGGTATTTTCATATAATACTAGTAAGGAGAGATAAATAGATAGATAGATGATAGATAGATAGATTTGCAGAGATATAGAAAGTTACAGAGAGTATCTGAAGGAGAAATCTACTTTTGTTAAAAAATGTATGTGTGAAAAGCCGGGGGTGGCAGTGCATGCCTGTAACCCCAGCACTCGGGAGGCTGTGGCAGGAGGATTGTTGCAAGTTCAAGGCCAGCTTGGGCTACAAAGTGAGCTCGAGGCCAGCCGGAACTGCATAGTGAGAGCCTGTCTCAAAAAGACAACAACAAAAAAAAGTATGTGTGTATACGTGGTGTCTTTAGACATAGGAAATGTTCAAGATGTTGACAGTTACCCTAGGAATGAAGTGAGAGGAGGGACAAGGAGGCTTCCACTAGCCATAGTTTTTAAAAGAAAGACAAGAGAGAGAAAGAGAAATGATATTGTGAACAATTTCTTTGGTTTTTTCCTATGTCCAAGTTTTCAAGTGACTGAATGTTTTACTTTTACTATTAGACCAAAAAGGTAAAGGAATCATTTTACCTTGCCAAGCTGCAAACATTTTAACAGACCAAAGTGGCACAATGGAAGAACCCCAGATATGGAGTCCAAATATCTGCATTGCAGTAGAATGACATTAATTTATTATTATGGTTTTTCTCATATGAGTAATACAACCATATTAGAGACAAAGAGAAAAGAAGGAGAAAAATCACCCTCTACTCCACCACTCTCACTCAGGGAGCCTTTGGGAAAACTAAAAATGTATTACCTGGTAACTCTGTTTTCACTGTCAGATGGGTTTGGGTCAGGGGAGGGCTGCTGCTAACATCTAGCTGTAGAGGCCGGGGGTGTTGCCAAATACAGGACAGCGCACCCACAACAAAGACACACCTCACCTAAAATGTCAATAGTAGCAAGACTGAGAAACTCTAATTGCAAGCATTTCTATGAATATTTTTGTCATTTTTGCTATGAATCTTTTAAAAAGTGATTGTTATCTATGATGCATTGAGTATTTTTGTTTGTTTTTCAAGGCAGGGTTTCACTACGTAGTTCAGAGTTCTTATGACCTTGAACTTACTGTGTACCCCAGGCTGGCCTCAAACTTGAAGGAATCTGCCTGCCTCAGCCTCCTGAGTGCTGGGATTACTGTACAGGTATGAACCACCACACTGACTTTAGTACCCATTTTGAGTTTAAGATTATGACATAAATATTTTTCATTTTGCTGCATGATATTCCTAAGCATCTTATAGTCCTGTAATACTTAATTCCTTTATTGCTAGATTGTTTACAATTTTTTAAGATTGTAAGTATTTGTCTATTCAGTAAGTATTTATTGAATGCTTATTTTATGTTAGGCCCCAGGCTAGATCCTAAAGGTAAATTTCTCCAAACAGAAATTGCTGATCAAGGGTAAAGAATATTTTCATGACTCTTGACACATGCTGAAAATTGGCACCATTATATAATTTCTCCACCCAGTGCTGGTTGTGTTTCCTTTTTTTTCTAATGTGAGTATTAAGAAGTACAACTTGACTTTTTCATGTATTTGCTTATTGTTTAATTCTTTGGGAATTATCTGATCACTTCTTTTGTCTGTTTTCTTATCAATCTGTATGAACTCTTTGTGTTAAAAGAAAAAGACATATACAAAAAGGTAAAATAAACTAAGGGAAGCCCAGTACAACACTATGGAACTGACACTACCTCTCAGTCTTCCCAGGGCAGGATAGTTAGGAGGAAGAGGTAGAGATGCAATGAGCCGTAGCCCTGTTACCGGTGGTAGGTAGATAATTCTTACTTCTTTCCCCTGCATCTACCCTATAGATAGGGAGTAAGGATGCCATTCGGGCCTGTGAGGACACAAAGGTTGCTGAAAAGGGACTGCAGCATCTGACTGTCCTTTCTTTGGGTCAGTTGATTATACTTTAATTATGAAATATTAATGTGGTATTATAAATGAAAACACACTTATCAGGTAGAAAACTTAAGATACCCCTAGTCCCAAGTAGAGCTCCATTGAATAAAACAGAGGGAAATTAAATCCACTGATGGATTATATCTAATTTTGCCAATGTGTATGGCATACTTCGGTGCAGTTCTTATGGTTTAATGACTCTGGTTGAAAATATTAGTGTCATAAAGGTCTACCCCCTCCTCCACACTCTGTTCCCATGGAGTACTGTCAGCACTAGCAGGAGCGAACAAAAAAGGAAACTAGACCATGTAAATAACCACGGCCTTTGACTTCTAAGCCCCCCATGAGGCCAACTGGTCTACGAGAAAAACGCTGACTCCTTCAGGTGAGAAATGGTGACCTTGTGTGAATTCCCGGACAAAGACAAGAATGGACACTTTTGCAGAGCAATAAAGGGTGAGCTGGAGAAGACACGATGGCTCAGTCAGGGGGAAGTGGGTTTGTCCCTAGGGGAAGCCCAGTATAACGCTATGGAACCGACACCACTCAGTCTTCGCAGCGCAGGACAGTTAGGAGGAAGAGGTGAAGACGCAAGCTTCCTTTCTCAAGAGCAAGAGAGTTGATTTATTATTAAGCCTTTCCTACCTTTTCAGGCACTATCATACTTCACCAAACTCTGTGCCTAAGCTCTTTCCTCTCAGTCACACTGAGACACTGGTACATTTTCTACATGTGGCTTCAGTTCTTGCGTCTTCCTCAAAGATCACACTCACTAATGACTGTCACGTAGATTCCGTCTACCCTCCTCCATGGAAAAAGGCTAATTTCTCTTCAGTGTCATAGTATTTAAACTCCCGCCCTCTGTTGGCAACTATCTCTGTCAAGTAGTACATCATTTCTGGCAATTTTCAGTATTTCTCAAAAGGTCTTATAAATATTCAGACATTTTGACTAAGTAGTTACAATTCTGAGAGTTTTTTTGAAGGAAATAATTAGCAATGTCCCGGAGACATGTCCGTAACAATGTTTGGTGAACGGCTATAATAGTAAACCACTATAGATAATTATGTTCAGCAACAGTAGCTTAATTTCATTTGGTTGTTAAGGTTTTTAAACTGACAAGAATAGAAGGGCTGGGGGTGTGCTCAATGACACAACACATCTCTGGCAAGCTCAAAGTCCTGAGTTCGATTCCTGGTACCAAAAGAAATAAAAGAGCAGACACTACACTTGATTTTAGCCAAAAGGCTCAGAAGCATTGGTTATTAAAGTTTTAGAAGACTGTTTAACAGAAAAGCACCCACAGTATATTTTTTTCCGATGAAACAACAAGAAGGTAGACCAATGGGACTTTTACTCTTTGGGTTACAAGACAACCTCAAAGTGAGCCTTAATATAGACCAAGGTCTGTGTGTCTAAGAAAGTTTTAACAGTTTTATTCTTATGCTCTCACTCTCTGGAACTCCTTCAGGTGCTAGGAGGTGCTGCTGGAGCAAAACTCCTAGGCTTCAGAGTTCAGGAATTTAGGACCGGAAGGGACCTTTGGAGATGCCGCAGGTAGAATGACTTACTCAGAATTATATCGCTAATGAGCAGCTAAGGGTGAAGTAAGACCCGGGTGTCCAACATCCAGTCTAGGAATTTCAATCTCGACCCGGTTACCTACGTCTGGACCATCCTCACAAACACGCAGTCACAAAGAAGACTGACATTAAGGCAAACTAAGTCGCACTGCTCACAAGGCCAGATACACAGTACTGACAATTCTTAGGTCTTAACCCTACCGAGCAATCGTCCTCGCCCCGCGCGCGCTTTAACCACCTCGCTTCCCCTTTCCATCCTCCTCTCTCCATCCCAGAGAGCTTCCATCGCTGTCGTGCCAAGAGCCTGCCGGAGACTCAGCGCAGCGCGCCAGGCAGGAGAGGCACGCTCCCTACCTGCGGCCGCGGATTCTCCAGGTCAGCTCGGAGACGCTGATGCTGCGCCGGGGACTGCGAGGCCAGAGCGGCGAGTCCGCCCGCTAATTACCTCCCGGCGAAGGGGAGCCGCCCACTCTCTCCAAAGCGCCGCCTCTAGAAAAATCCAGCTAGGACCGGGCTTTTTCCTGAGGCTTTAGTTTTCAAGTTTAGAAACTGGAGGATTTCGCATTCTTTTGAATAAGTGTATGTAAAAACGAAACCAAAAGTTAAAACCAGCAGCCAGTTTTCCCGTAAGTCAGCTCTGCATCAAGAAGAGTCCCACATCAGGCAGGGTGGTGAATGCCTGCAATCCTAGGTACATACTATTTGAGAGGTTGACTGCGGCTGGATGTCAGGTCCAAAATTAACCTGGGTAACTGAGAAAGGACCTGACTCAAAAATAAAAAAGGAGGAGGATGTAGCTCAATGCTCCCTGAATTCGATCCCCAGTAACACACAAACACACTCCAAAGATTAAAACAAATTCACATCTGGTATGTTTTGAACAGAAGTCTAGCACAAACAAAACAACTGAAATTACAAGGATTTCAGATTTTGGTTTTACCTTCAGAATCCAGACACCTTAATAAATTCTGTCTTCAGGTTTTCCCCCTTTCTGATGACAGGCTTTTTAAGATCACAGAACATCCTGATACAAAGATGTAACTTGATACAACAATAAAAGTAAGCAACAGACCCCGATGGCTTTGGCTTTTATTCTAGAAAGTAGGTATTTGTGCATAATGAAAAATTTATTTTTAAATTGTGGATCTTGTAACTTCCCCAAAGTTCCTCGACATAATGAAACTTCGGTTGCGTTATCATTAAAAGAACTTCCCATCTTGAGCTTTACCTTTTAAGAATGCTCGGGATCCCTGCTAGACTGCCCTCCTTGGGATTTAGGGCGGGAGGATATAGTCTAGGTAATCATTAAGAGAGTCCTTCCGGGAAGTGGATCAGTAGGTGGGCCCATGCTGAAGCCACAGAGCTCACGCAGAACGCGGTGGCATAATTTACTCCACATTTCCACTGTTTGACTTCAAGGACCTTCCTTTCTTGTACCCGTAGGCTGAACTCTTCATCCTTTGCCTTTCCTACTTATTCACTGCAGCTGCATAAATGAGATGCCCATTGGCTTGGTTGTGGCATTTGCTTCCTAAGTAGGAATTTTCGTATTGTCGGCGAATCACGCATATTTATTTCTAACTTGGAAACTACTGAGATGACGCTGCCTTAAAGATCTAGTAGGGAGTGTGGAATTCTCCAGTGTGACACTGTAATTGACTTTGGAGGCCCATCCAAGAAACTCTGTCCTTCAAATCTCTTTTCAGAAGCCATAGTGGAATAGAACAATTTTACCAACTTTAGTGACTAATCTATACTAAAATATAGTTTTTATGTGGCATTCACATAGGCACATATGTGTGTTTGTGTATGCACTCACACGTATACCAACTATATGCAATACACCTGCTTATATTTTGTAATTAACTTTTCTTTTTCTAAACGTGAACATAGATTTCATGGTCTGCAAGTGTGGGCATGACGTTCTGCAAAAACTACCTCTAGAGTCATCTACCAGTAGGCAGCTGATTCATCGTGGTCAAACATCCTCCTAAGTCAGGATTAGGTCATGTCATATTAGATAGTGTCTATGATCATCATCCATGTGTCATTTTTAATATTGGAAGGGGCATGTTTTGTTTGTTTTGTTTTACAAAAGCATTGTTTAGGGGCTATGTAAATGGTCAAGTGGGGAGTCTGGAGGTGAATAAAATTTGCCTTTCTCTGAAGCTGATGGGAATTGGGGGTATTTACATAGTTTGCTGCTCTGTGATTTGCATAGTAGTACTCAGAAGGCCTTTGGTTCTTGGTCATCTCTCTCACCTGTTCCCACTCTTCAGCCATTTATTTCCCCGTGAAATTCATGGAGCTTCCTAATACACTGTTGCTATCCTCCAGTGGGAAAAAGGAAAATTATCTTTCATCACGTCAAAATAGCTGGGGGGTGTTAGCCTCCCCAAATTGTGTGAGTTTTACAATTTGGGCAAAGTATATGGAGAAATACTAAAATAGAAACGCAGTAGCTAGCCACAGCTGACGAGCTAGACATCCTGGTGATCTTTAATATCAGTATTTCCCACTGATACTTCACCTACCTACCCTATTCACTTTCAGAAGAAAAACAGCATTGCCGACACGCTCTTTCTTACCATGTCTCTGAGGACTGCATCACTGTAACTTGGAATATATGTTTACAATAGATCGCAAGGCTCTGTCACAAATCTGTTGGATTCAGACCTCTGGAAGACAGTCTTCAGTGTTGACAGTTTAATACAGGTGAATTGTTCACACACTGAAGTTTTCAAAACTGATGATTTAATGTTTAAGGAAGAAAACTGACCTGAGATTTCTTTGCACATACTCTCCTGCTCTATCTAATTTGGCTGATTTCTATCAACTTCACCTTTTACTCAGCGTAGCTAATCTCTTTTCTGCTTTTTGCCCTAAATCAGAGAGAGATGAACCACATTTGTACGGATCTCAGAAGGAGGGTAGATTTCAGGGTCTTCCAACTGGTCCTGAAATGATGTGAGCAATTTTCCAGTGAAGACGAAATTTTTCAAAAGCTTTTTTTATTTTCCAAAAGTAGTATACAAGCATACTCAAAATAATAACAAAAACGGACAAACTTCTTTGTACTGAATATTTTAAAATTCATTTTATTATGTGAAAATACAATTTTGTCTCCAAGTCTTATTTTGGATTGTGCAGGGGTATAAACCACAGCCCTATGTGATGCACATTTCTCTCTTGCTGTGTCCATCCAACCTCTGGCTTTTGTTGTTCCATCTTTACACTGTATAGACTCACATCCCATAGACTAATATCTAACAGACTTAATGGAGTGGAACACTTTGTCGAGCCCACGTCAAACGATGGCCTAAATGACAGGAGTAATTCACATGTGTGAGGACCAGCAGCTGTCTCCACTTGACACTCACTCTCACAGAATTCCCCCTTTCACACTGTATTTGTCTCCTTCCTCTTCTGAGTGGGAGAAGAGTTCATGCCTTTAGAAGGTAACTCCCATACCACAGGCATTTAAACACAAAATGAGGCCTCTGACAATGTTCCCTGTCCTCAATGGGTTCACAAACCCTCACATGAATAATTATGACCTGGAAAACGTTGTGCAAGTCTGGAAACATTCTAGAGAAATATTTTAATTTTAAGGAATCTCAAATCAAGTGAAAATCACTGACTAATAGTTTACAATAGTGATATTCTTCAAATATATTGAGAAATATTTATTGATTTAACATCCCAAGCTGAATAGCCTAAGGACCTAATAGCCTAAGATGGACAGCCATCTGATGGTCATTCACTTGTTATAAGGGTATGACTTGGCTCAAACATCTCTTGTAGAATCATCTCTAGAAGCACTATTTTATACTTATTTGGTTTTTCAAGCAAGAACAATATAACTTGAAATCTAAAAGCCTACAAAATTTCTCCCTTGAAAGGAGCAACCGTTTTTGCTGTTGTTTTAGAATAAATGCTTATTCAAAGACCAATTACAGTCAAATCCAGGTGAATTGCATTGAGAACCTAATTAAAGTGCTATGATAGAGGCCCATCATAAAAGAATGAGTAATAGTTTGTTTCCTTTCCCCATCTTTCCTGAAAAGGCAGCAAGACTGCTGTATTCTGAGAAGTGCATTCCAAATGTACATTCACTACATAAAAATTTTGGACCCTGAAATCCTATTAGAAAAGAAAAAGAAAAGGCAGGGTAATATGATAGAGTGTGCAGGTGAGAGATTCATCTAGAAGTTGGGGAATACTATGAATTATGACTAAACATACAAGACAAGAGCTGGGTCAGGCAGAGTTACCTCTTACCTGATGGGAAGAGAACTGACTTCAACAGTAGGGGTGTTTATTTTATGCTCTTGCAAAGTTAGTATCAGGAGAGGTACTGTTGTCTAGTGACTAACAACTGTAATTGTCCAGGAAGGATGCTTTTCAACACTGAGGTAGCTGGACTGCTTGAGGTTCTCTGGCTCTGTCCTGCCCTTACACATATGACCAATAATCAGCTCCAATGGCTCCCAACAATAAAGGTCTATAGAATGGGTATATTTGACAGCAGGCACAGGTGCAAAGATTATAAGGGAGAAACCAGCTTAGCAAGTTCCAAGGGTGGAAGGAAAACCACTGTGGCTATAGCATAGAGTTGTAGGGGGATGGAGGATCAGATCAAATCATGAAGGGCCTTGAGGACTGAGAGGTGGTAGAGAAATTACCTGATTAGTGTTGAAAAAATATCACTCATTACATTCATGGAATCTGGGAGGCCTTTAGGAGCTGTTGTTATAGACAACAATCAGAATATAATTTGGAAGTAGAATCAATAGAACATATTGTTAGATATTAGAGGTGATGGAAACAAAGTAGTCAATGATTCATATATTTTAATATGCTCTTCCAGATTAGAATATTATAATGAGATAACCTATACTATAGCCTTTCACAATATTGTGAGCTCTCCAAATTAAAATGTCTGAAAACAAAAGCAAAATTCTCTTGTTAAATTAACAACTGGGAAATGGTTTTAATCAGCCAAGGGATTCCTCTTTTCTGAAGAAGAAATTACAATGCTTTCTGGAAATATAGAGGAAGTTGGTGGCCCTGGGTGTGGTTCAAGGCCTTGGCTTTGTCCCATTAGGGGTTTACTATCAAACAGCCTTGAAAATTACTGGTGCAGGTCACTTACTATCAAAAGATGACCAGGGATGAGAGCAAAGAGCTCTAGTGTTTAGAGCATTTCTTTGGCAAAGTACACAGAGGGAGAGCCTCAAATGCTGAATAATGCTATCACTCAAGACACTGGAATTAAGGAAGTGAATGTGAACTCTGGGAATGAGTTGTTTTACTTCCTTACAAATATGACAGGATGAAGAGTAATTGGAAAGAACAGGTTTAATTCATATCTTTGTGTGAATAAGCCAAATAAAAATGTGTGAATTATGGGTTAGAGTCATAGATAACCCCAAGTGAAAGCTCCCAACCTAGAAATTCTTGCTAGTTTTGTGCTAATCAGAACTGACAAAGCAAATGAGGGGACTGTGGTAGCATTTTCAGAGCAAGATAGAAAAATGAGAATCCTGGCGAATGAGACCAATATAAGGATACTTCT